GAGGTAGCACCAATGATCAGGGTGTGTGCAGCACCGCTAGAATCGTGTGACATGCTTTCCTGCTCAGGCAAATCTCTTCTCTTTGGGTCTCATTTTCTGGGTCTGCCGGGGGGAGGGAGGGGATATAATGCCTCTCCTCCAGGCGGCTGCACTGCTTACGTAAGGAATAAGCATCATAGGGCGTCTCCTGTGGTGAGCGTTCAAGGTGGGTCAGCCAGGGTTGACAAGGCAGCCTTTTTCAGGAGGTGAGCTTGGGAATTTTCACCACCCTAAGGGCTTATAAGAAAAACATAACCCTCAGGTTTTGGAGCTGAAAAGGATTTGAGGGAATCCTTTGATTGCACAGATATTCAATTTTCAGTCAACAGTTTTACAGATGATGAAACTGAGGAAGGACAGGTGAAATAGCAAAACGAATGGTTTTGCTACCGGATTTTGCTCTCAGCGGCTGAGCTGGGACTGACGTCCAGGCCCAGTTTCCCCTCACCGCCCGAGTTCCCTATAAGCCCAGGCAGTCGTGTAAAGTTGTTCTTGCAACTTAGCTATCTGTGCCTTGTCTTCAGCACTTCAGGGGGATGAACTGGAGGGAGCTTGGATAGAAGCTGCATCTTCCTTAAAATAGAATATCTAAGCAGGTAGGAAGACAGCTTTTTTCAGAATTAAATAGGGCAATGTTAGGAAAGATGAAACCACTCGGAAAGGAGTACATCAACATTGACTTTTTTGTTTTTGTTTTTGTTTTTTTTGGACAGGGACTCACTCTGTTGCCCAGCCTGGAGTGCAGTGGGATCCCAGCTCACTGCATCCTTGAACTCCTGAGCTCAAATCATCCTCCTACCTCAACCTCCCAAGTAGCTGGGACTCCAGGCACGTGCCACCGTGCCTGCCTAGTTTTTAAATTTTTTTTTATTTTTGTAGAGATGGGTTCTCGCTATGTTGCCCGTGCTGGTCTCGAACTCCTGGCCTCAAGTGATCCTCCTGCCTTGAGCTCTTGAAGTGCTGGGATTACTGGTGTGAGCCACTGAACCCGGCCGTTAACACCTACTTTCTAAGCACTTACGATTTGCTAAGCATTGTGCTGGGCCCTGGGATATGAGATGAGCAGATACCATCTCTGTCCTCATGTGGTTCCCAATCTGGACAAGACATGTGACAAGCACCAGAAACTAACAGTCATGTAAGGCCTTGGGAGGTAAGTCCATCAACTTTACAGGTTAGCAGAGGGATTTGGAGAAGGGTGAGAAACTGCTGAATGAAGGAGACAAGGAAGATTCTAGAAAATGCTGGATTGGCAAGGGCTAAAGAGAGGTAGGATTTAGATAGAAAGGAGCAGAGATCAGTGACAAACTAGAAGTTTGCAAGGTGTGTTTAGGGGACAGGGGACTGCCTTAGAGCAGGGCTTGGCAACTTTTTCAGTAGAAGGCCAGATAGCAAATATTTTAGGCTTGGTAGGTCATAAGTCTTCCGTTCCAATGACTCAACTCTGCCTTTGTAGCTAGAAAGCAGAGACAGATGATAAGTAAATAAACCAGAATGGCTGTATTTTATACAACTTTATTTATACATGCTGAAATTTGAATTTTATGTAATTTATATATGTCACCAAATATTCTTCTTTTGATTTTTTTCAACTACTTAAAAATATAAAAAAATTATTATTTGCTTACAGTCTGTACAAAAACATGTGGGCCAGACTTGGCTCATGGACCATACTTCACCCATTTCTGATCTAGGAGCAAGATGAAAGCTGGGCCTGGAGAGGGAGGCTGGGGCCACATCAGTCCAGGCACTGAATACCTGCTTAAGGCATCTGGTGTTTTTCCAGGCCGAAGTCAGAGGTAGGAATGCATGATATTCAGATAGCCCCAGATTTGCCCCCTCTTCTTCTTTTTTTAATTTATTTTTATTTTTTTAATTTTTTGAGATGGAGTTTTGCTCTTGTTACCCAGGCTGGAGTGCAATGGTGCGATCTTGGCTCACCGCAACCTCTGCCTCCTGGGTTCAGGCAATTCTCCTGCCTCAGCCTCCTGAGTAGCTGGGATTACAGGCACGCGCCACCATGCCCAGCTAATTTTTTGTATTTTTAATAGAGACGGGGTTTCACCATGTTGACCAGGATGGTCTCGATCTCTTGACCTTGTGATCCACCCGCCTCAGCCTCCCAAAGTGCTGGGATTACAGGCGCAAGCCACCGTGGCCGGCCTTGCCCCCTCTTCTCAGGCACCTTCTCCCTTAAAGACTTGCTCCCAAGAACCTGAGAAGGGGACCCTTCATTATCTTGCCTTTCAGTGAATGGAGAAAGACTGAAGGAGGAAGGGCTTGGGGGTAAACCTGGGAATCAATTATCAGGCTTTCAAGTCCAAAATACCTAAGGATGATCTAAGTGAGATGTCAAATAGCTTGTCATGTATTTGAATCTAGAGCTGAGAGCGGAAGATGGTGGTCCTATTTTAAATGATGGGAATAGACTTGTCCCTTCAGGAAGGAATGTAGAGAGAAGAGACTGCAACCCAGGACAGAGCCCTGAGGTTCTCCATCTCCAGAGCTTGTGATGAGGCCCAGGAGAGCCTGAGAGGCAAGAGAAAGCAGGAGACAGATGGCAGAAGCCGAGGAGTCACTTAACAAGGGAAGAAACCATGCCCAGTGCTGCTGTAACCTTGGGATGATGGGACAAGAGAGTGTTCTGGTAACGTGGAGGTCTCTTGTGACCTGCCAGGAGCAACTTCAACGGGGCGGTGGGTGTGGAAATCAGAGGGAGCAGAGGTGACACAAACAAGTCTTCAGAGACATTCTAACCTTCCAAGATGGATGAAATGAAGCATTAGTCATAGGGAAGGATGCAGGATTGAACCAAACTCAACCTACTTCTATTGAGTGCTTACTTTGTCCCAGGCACAGTGCCAGGCTTGGAAATACAAAGATGAGAACAGACCGGCCTCAATAGCCACACGCCAATATGATCCATATCAGAATAGACATATGTGACAAGTGGTGCTGGCAAGAGGAATGCTGGAGTCATGAATTCTGAGTTTGGGGATCACAGGGTGGTGCTATCTGACCCGGGCTTGCAGAGCAGGAAGGACAAGGTAAGAAAAGCCTTGCCAAGCAGTAGGAAAGAGGATTTCAAAAGGAAAGTTGAAAAAGAACAGGGATTGGCCAGGCGCTGTGGCTCATGCCTGTAATCCCAGCACTTCAGGAGGCCGAGGCAGGTGGATCACGAGTCAAGAGTTCGAGATTAGCCTAGCCGAGATGGCGAAACCCCGTCTCTACTAAAAATACAAAAATTAGCTGGGCGCAGTGGCAGGCACCTGTAATCCCAGCTTACTCAGGAGGCTGAGGCAGGAGAATCACTTGAACCCAGGAGGTGGAGGTTGCAGTGAGCTGAGATTGCACCACTGCACTCTAGCCTGGGCAACAGAGCAAGACTCTGTCTCAAAAGAAAAAAAAAAAAAAGAACAAGGAGGATTTGTGTGGTCTTATGTGGCCTAATGGGCCACACAGTAACAGGACATGCATTAGGAGACATATGCCACCCACCATGGGATAGGCCTTTGCACCCTGATGGAGACTGAAGTTTATAAAAAGGGGGAAATATAAGGAATATAAATAACATTGATCCACCTCCTCTGTGCCAGGTATCGAGGTAGCCACCTACCTTAAATACTTTCGAACACGGGTTTTGCAGCAGAAGGCACACCTGAGTTCAAATTCTGGTTCTGCAAAGTGTAATAGCTATGTGGCCTTCGGTCCTTTAATCGAGCTAAGTCTTAGTTTCATCTGTTAAATGCTATTAACTCTTATTGTATAGAAGTTTTGTAAGGCTTAAAAGTAAAAGCAACTACCACAACTATGATCTCATTTAAAATAGAGTGACATGACCAGGCACGGTGGCTGATGCCTGTAATTCCAGTACTTTGGGAGGCCGAGGAGGGTGGATCACTTGAGGTCTGGAGTTCAAGACCAGCATAGCCAACATGGTGAAACCCCGTCTCTACTAAAAATAGAAAAATTAGCTGGGCATTGTGGCATGAGCCTGTAGTCCCAGCTACTAGGGAGGCTAAGGCAGGAGAATGGCTTCAACGCGGGAGGCAGAGGTTGCAGTGAGCCGAGATCATACCATTGTACTCCAGCCTGTGCGACAGAGACTCTCTAAAAAAAAAAAAAAGAGTGATATTTGCAAGACGAATCATGCATTTTAGAAGGGTTGCTTTTGTAGTGGTGTGCCGGATAAACTGGCAGTGGGGAGTCAGGAGGGGACAAATGAGACTGGGGATACTGAGGCCAGTTAAAAGGCGATTACAGAACTAGTTAATAGTGAAAAAGGGGAAAAACAAAGCAATGGGCTATGAGGAGAGTCAGGGAGAGCTGAATGCTGAAGACCCCACAAAGGCCTGCCCTGGTGGTGGTGAGAAGGGCCAGCTGTTAGGCGGATTCCCGGGCTGAGCTGGGTGGGATTCTGTGAATGAGAGATGTGAGGGCTGGGAGCAGGGTAAAGAGCTGGGGAGAGGTGTGTAGAAGGACTCCAGGCTCTCCAGCTTCAGAGAGCAGTGGCATTATTTGCTGAGCTGACAGATACTGGAGAAAATGTGGGTTTAGGGAGAATATATATTTAATTTTAGACAAATTGAGTTGAGGATTCTGCAGGACGCCAGATGGAGAAGGCCTGAGGGAGTTGGAAAGAGAGATCAGGAACTCCAGCAAGGGAGACTCAGCTCTGAGAGGTTTTATGCAGGAGGGAAGGCCTGGCTCTGAGGAGGAATGCCAAGGTCCAGGTGATGTTTCAGCAATGAGGACCCTGGAAGGTCCCTACATGTCAGGATTTTAGATCTGAACGTCTCCAGGAGCTGAAGAGATCTGCTTCAGGTTGCACCAGTGCTAAGACGAGGCAGAACTGGGTGTGAACTCCAGAGTTCTCATCTCCCACTGCACGCAGAACTATGGCAACCTGAGCTACAGGAACTCTGGGAGGCAGGGCCAGAGGTGCCCGGGGACTGCAGCCCACGGGGATGGGCATGGAGAAAGAGGAATATCACTTCAGGTTCAAGTTGCTAGTTTTGCAGAGTGTAAAATTACTGCACAAGTCCCAGAGAATAAACAGAGTTAACACCCCATTAAATACAATGGACTTTCAACGTGAGCTCCAGACGTGCCTAGATTGAAACTAGCTGAGCAGAGCTGGCCCGTGAGTAAAATGTGTCACGTGCACTGCCTTCATGCTTCCAAAGAGAAAAATCCAGCGCAGGGAGAAGAAAGCGCCAGCAGCAGCTCCTGCAGGCTCAGGGCTGAGGATCCGGTAATGAAGTCTTTCTAGAAGGTAAGAAAGGGCTGTGTGCTGCATGCTATTTTTAAACATGCTGGAGCAGCACATGTATCCCTGGCCCACGCACTTTCTCCAGCAGACGAGGGGCCTGGGGGAATGCAGCCAGGAATTCAGATGCTATTTATTGTATTTCCTTTTATCAGTCAAATGATTTTCCTACTTCCCACATAGATAAAGATCTTCCACTTACAGCTCCAGCTTGCTGACCTTGTCAGGACTGCTGTGCAGCCTGAAAATTGGTCCCAGGGAGAGAAGGGCATTGTTTTTAGGGGGTTGTTTGGCGGGTTGGGTTTTTCTTCTCCCAGCAGGGAAGAGATTGTTTTACAAAAAAAAAAAATTAAAAATCTTCTAGAAAACAAAAACTGATTGTTTTCTGCCTTTTTGCAGAACTGAAAGGCTATCCAAGAAGTATAGTTCATGAGCCACCCCCCTCACATCCCCCAGTATCTCCACCCACCTTTCGCCAACACACACACACACACACACACACACACACACTCTCTCTCTCTCTCTCTCTCTCTCTCTCTCTCTCTCTCTCTCAATATCTCTTTCTCCTGCAGCAAGTCTGGCCCTGGCCCCGGACCCACTGCTGTGCTGCTGTCTTGGCAGGCAGCAGGGCAGAGGGGGTGGTAGCTCTGTCTAAGCTTGTAAGTTGAGCCAGTCTCCTGGCTGTGCCAGCTCTGTGGCCCTTGGAGATGCCAGTATGCCTGAGTGGGAGCAGCTGCAGCTCACACTTGGCGGGAAGCCTCAGAGCCAGCCAGGCCTCCAGAAGCCGCATTCTCAGGCAAGGGTACGGCCCGAGGGCTACTAATCAGCTGGAGGCCTCCTCTTGGGCAAGCTGCCCTCATTGTCTTGCCTTGCCTGGGCCTGCTGGCCAGGTTCACAGGCCAGAGACAGTGCCACTGTTCCTCACCTTCTCAGGAACGGGACCAGCAGATGCTGTGAGAGGCTGGGGTTTTATTGGAAATCCTCTTCACTTCTGGCTCATTGAGAGCCACAAAACATAAAGAGAGCCAGCTAGAAGGAGGGAATCCAGCCCCTCGCAGTCTCACCATTTGAACAGCAAGGAGCTGCAGACCCCTTGCACGCCCGCGAGGGCCGGCTATGGATTGTAACAGAGCTGCCAGCTTTCAGGAACCCCAGGTTCTCGCCCACCATTGAGGTGCTTCCTGGCCGGGACAGCAGAGGGCGCCGGCTCCCCTACCAGCACTGGGTCCGAGGCCGCCTCCCGCACATCTGGAAATGGGCTCTATCACTCTTGCGAAATAGGGCTAGGGATCTGTCTGTGTCAGATGAATTGGCACCCGAGTGAGCACGCATACACATCAAGAATTCCACTTTCTCATTAGCTCTATTTCCCCCTCAAGAGCACTTGTGGAATGTGGGGAATTTGCCTTGCCAGGGCGGCCAACACATCTGAGTCCTGGGCTTGGTCCAGCCTGGGCGGAGTGCTCAGTGGGAACACCTCTGGTCTGAAGCCTTTGCGCTTCCCTCCGACGACGTGGAGGGAAGGGGAATAAGAAAACAGGAGGGAAGGACCTCCCAGATCTTTTCCCCAGGGGAAGAAAACTAAAAATGTTTGGTCGTGACCTTCCCCGCCCTCCTGAAGAAAGCAAATGCCCCACATTAACAGGTCCTTGAGAAACAAGATATAATTCCAAGAAAGCATTTTCTTAAATTACAAGTGATTAGAAATACCAAGGCCATGTGCAAACAATGGAGGGGGAAAGGAGAAACTGGGTGGATGAGGGCAGAGCTGAAGCCAACCCAGAGGCCTGGTTGCTGTTCTGAGGCTGCTCCCTAGACTTCTGAAAGCTGCATGCATTTAAATGTCCACATTTTCTCACAGAAGCCAGCAATCTGTACTTCTCTTGGCCAAACAACACATCAGTCTAATATGGTGTGGGAGAAATATGTTACATTTTTTTTATGAGCAGAATGTTAACATCACCTAGAATCAATATTTATATCCAAGAACACAGTGAACTGGCTTGTTTTGTGCTGTATGGGTTTAAGACAGGGACATTTGGAGGGAGGAGGGAGGCACCCCCCTCCAACCCAGAAAGGCAGACCCAGGCAAGCAAGCTGAGGCTCTGGCCTCCCAGAGAGTTTCTGCCTGGGAGACCATGTTAGCTCCCTTCCTCCCCTACAGTCCTCTGTCTCCTGGGATTGCAAGAGGAAGCCAGAAGCAGCCAGTGGGGCAGGAATTTGTGGCGAGGTTCAGGACGTGAGGCAGTATCCTGTCTGCAGAGCAGCCACGTACGGTTCGTGAGGGCTTCAGTGGGGGAGGGAGGGTCAGGACATGCATCCAGCATTTCCCACTGCAGATCACAGTAGGGGCAGACACAACTTTACACAAGTCCTTGGCTGAGGGGCTTCTAGGGGATGAAAAACAAGGAATGGTGGGGGTATGACACTTTTCTTTCATGCTGCAATGAAAAATGGCCAGGCAACTGCCCTTATCTGAGGCAGCCATTGTGACAGAGATGGAAGCTGAGGTCCCCTGGCCTTAGAGTGCTGAACATTCTTCCAGAGGCTTTTGGGATTATCAAACGCCTTAGACTGGTTGTTCCTTGATGCTATTTTCCACTTGACTGCCTTTTTTTTTTTTGAGACGGAGTCATGCTGGAGTGCAATGGTGCAGTCTCAGCTCACTGCAGCCTCTGCTTCCCAAGTTCAAGCAATTCTCTTGCCTCAGCCTCCTGAGTAGCTGGGATTACAGGCATGTGCCTTCACATCTGGCTAACTTTTGTATTTTTAGCAGAGATGGGGTTCGCCATATTGGCCAGGCCTGTCTTGAACTCCTGAACTCAAGCGATCCACCCAGCTCAGTCTCCCAAAGTGCTGGGATTACAGGCGTGAGCCACCATGCCTGCCCACTTTACCGCCTTTGGAAGCTACTGGGCCTGCAGCCTGGAGTCAGCTGCTTGCTCCTTGCATGTATAATCCTTACCTAATTAGAAAAATGAAAACAAAACAAAAGCCTTTCCCCTTTCCCAGAAGATTTAAGGTTTGCTTGCAACAGAGTATCTGCAAATGTGAGGCTCCTCTTCACCTAAGCAGACTGAATTGGGGCCTCATTTTGCAGAGCAAGCAGCGCACTTCATTTTCAGATTCGATGCTGAAGGTTACCACTTTCAACTGTAGCACTTGTCTCTCATTAAATGCCTGGAGCTCATTATGATATATCTTGCAGAAAAGTCTTTGCTGTTTTAATAGGCATGATCTTTAGAAAAGACCCTTTGGCTTATGTATAAGATCGAGGCATGATTAATCTTGGCCTCATTTAGCTGTGGGTCACCAGTGTTCAGGCTAGAGTGAGACCTCGCTTTGCATGATCACAATTTACAATTTTCTATAATCTATATCTTTTCTCTATTTGTTAGCCTGTTTTGTTGCTGTAATTTCATTTGGTCTGTCCTATTGTTTTCATCTAGTTCTAAGAAACAACCAGTAAATATCCCCATCACATATGCCATAAAATCAGCCAAGATAAACATATTATTTCATTATAAGCCTCTGTGTGTAGCATCCCCTTTACGGTTGCTAAGCTCCTCCTGCAGACCCTTGTAAGTTTAAATATTCTGTACATCTTTAGAGAAACTGCCTGATTCAAGCCAATGGAAAAGTCTCACTTGGGTCCAGATGCTGTTCTGATGCCAAGGGCAGGATGAAAGAATAGTGAAAGTTAGCAGTAAAGTATAGTGACTCACGCCTGTCATCCCAACACTTTGGGAAGTTGAGGTAGGTAGATTGCTCGAGCCCGGGAGTTCGATACCATCCTGGGCAACATAGTGAGACCCTGTCTCTATAAAACATGGAAAAATTAGCAGGGTAGTGCACACCTGTAGTCCTAACTGCTTGTGAGACTGAGGTGGGAGGATCTCTTGAGCCCAGGAGTTCAAGGCTGTAGTGAGCCATGATCACACCACTGCACACCAGCCTGGGCAACAAAATGAGACCCTGTCTCAACACCAAAAAAGTTAGCAGTAGGGCAAAGAATAAAACTGAAATCTTTAGCCAGGGGTGGCAGCAGTTGGTGGGGTTTGACTGTCTGCCTGCAGAGCAGTGCCAGGATCTGGGAGAAAAGTGCTAATAAAAAAAGCCTCCTTGGAAGTCTTTGGTAAATGTCATTCCAAGTCCAGGCCCACCTTTTAAGCTCTAGAACTGTCAATATAAATGCTTACTTAACACCTACCTCTGATGACTTAACACTTGCATCTCAAATGAACATTCCCACAAGCCTCTCTGATTTCCGGCCATTCCCCTGCCCCAGTCTGCTCCTCTTCTAGTTGTTCCGTCTCAGTAACTGGTGCCCGCACCATCTGTTTGAAGCACGAGATCCCTGGAAATGCTCTCTCCCTCCCGCCTCCCTCTCACCCGTCACTCATCTTGTTCCTTCTACCACCAAAATGGTTGTATTCCATCCTCTTCCCCACATCATTCTTCACTGCTACAGCCTTAGTCCACGATACCACCACCTCCGGAGGGATTATAGCCACGGCCACAATTTAGCTCACTATTTCAGTGCTTCACAGAGTAGTCAGAATAATTTTTTTTAAACCACAAACTAGATGGTATCACTTCCCTTGCCGAACCCTTCAGTGATTTCCCCCTGCACTGAGGAGAATGTCCCAGATCCTTGGGCTGGGTAATAAGACCACACGTGGCCTCACTCCTGTCTATCTCTTGCCGTTCTTCCCCTATATTTCCTGGCTCTAGCTCCCTGGTGTTCTTTCAGCTCCGCTAAATCACCATCGAAAGCTGGCTTTTGTGCTCTTTTCCTGACTCTCTCTAAGTCCTACAGGTTTCTCGTGTTAAGTGTCACTTCCTTGAAGGGGCCTTCTTCCTTGACCCCATCATCTGAAAAAATAGTTGCCCACCATGCTGACAATGCCACTACTGCCACTATGCTGCCACAAGCCACTCTCTTTTCCCACATTTGATACCATAAGGCAGCCACATCACATCTACTTAGTTTGTTAAATCACGTTTCTTCTGCTAGATATGAGGCTCCATGAAATCAAGAATCATATCTGTTTTCCTGTATTCCTACTGCCTGCTCCAGAGGGTAATGCACGTTAGTTGAACCAAGTAAAGAAAGCAGACTACACATGGAAAGCTTCCTGCAGGGTATTTACACTGTTACCTAAAATTCCTCCTTGAAGAATTCCTCACTGAGGTTTGGGAGAAACCAAGTGAAACTCCCAAAGTCTCTGATCTCCTCCTTTGCTCCACCCCCACTGGATGTTCTTCTTCTTCATTTTTTTTCCTTTGAGACAGAGTCTTGTGTTGTCACCCAAGCTGGAGTGTAATGGTGTGAACATGGCTCACTGAGCCTCGACCTCCTGGACTCTAGTGATCCTCCCACCTCAGCCTCCCAAGTAGCTGGGAGCACTATCATGCCTGGCTAATCTATATGTTTTTTGAGACTGAGTCTTGCTCTGTTGCCCAGGCTGGAGTGCAGTGGTATTATCTCAGCTCGCTGCAACCTTCACCTCCCAGGTTCAAGTGATACTCCTGCCTCAGCCTCCTGGGTAACTGGGACTACAGGTACATGCCACCACGCCTCATTTTTTTTAATTAAAAAAAATTCTTTTATAGAGATGAGGTCTCACCATGTTTTCCAGTCTGGTCTTGAACTTGTGAGCTCATGCAGTCCTCCTGCCTTGGCCTCCCAAAGTGCTGGGATTATAGTTGTGAGCCACTGTACCCAGCTCCTGACTGCATGCTCTTCTTACCTTCCTTCCTGGCTATTTTAAAAGTTTCCTAACCAGTCTATCTCTGTACTGCCTTGGATTCAGTATTTATGCTAAGGACCACAATAATGAATGGGGGAGAATTAACATTTTGATTTTCACAAACCTCTCATTGAACATTTGCATTTCTTTTGATTAGAAACATTGGCACAAGTCCCAGTAGTACTGGCAGGACCTGTGACTTTGCCACCAACAAGATCACAGATATTTTCATACTATATTATAGCCACTACAGATGTTGAAATATTATAGTCACTATTACTTTAAAATTATGGTCATTATTAGAGCTAGATCATGTTATTTAATGCTTTATCAAGAACCACAGATATTCCTACATAACACATTGTTAATATTTTGATAGGTATATTTTAATATAGTGGATTTCCTTTGTAATTTTATTTGTATTTTATTCACTTAAAAACATTCCTAAAAGGCCTTATGTTTAAGTCTTTAATACATCTGGAGGCAAAACCATTCAGGACATAGGCATAGGCAAGGACTTCATGACCAAAACACCAAAAGCACTGGCACCAAAAGCCAAAATAGACAAATAAGATCTAATTAAACTCCAGAGCTTCTGCACAGCAAAAGAAACAATCATTAGAGTGAATCGACAACCAACAGAATGAGAAAAAAATTTTGCAATCTACCCATCTGACAAAGGGCTTATATCCAGAATCTACAAAGAACTAAAACAGATTTACAGGAAAACAACAAACCCATTCAAAAGTGGGCAAAGGACACGAACAGACACTTTGCAAAAGAAGACATACATAAGGCCAACATATGAAAAAATGCTCATCATCACTGGTCATTAGAGAAATGCAAATCAAAACCACATTGAGATACCATCTCATGCCAGTTAGAATGGCAATCATTAAAAAATCTGGGGACAACAGATGCTGGAGAGGATGTGGAGAAATAGGAACACTTTTACACTGTTGGTGGGAGTGTAAATTAGTTCGACCATTGTGGAAGATAGTGTGGCGATTCCTCAAGGACCTAGACATAGAAATTCCATTTGATCCAGCAATCCCTTTACTGGGTATATATCCAAAGGATTATAAATTGTTCTATTATAAAGACACTTGCATACCATGTGTTCATTGAAGCACTGTTTACAATAGCAAAGACCTGGAACCAACCCAAATGCCCATCGAAGATAGACTGGACAAGGAAAATATGGCACGTATATATACACCATGGAAAACTATGCAGCCATAAAAAATGATGAGTTTGTGTCCTTTGTAGTGACATGGATAAATTTGGAAACCATCATTATCAGCAAACTGACGCAAGAACAGAAAATCAAACACCACATGTTATCACCATGTGTGTGTTGAACAATGAGAACACATGGACGCAGGGGGGGAGCATCACACACTGTGGTCTGTTGGTGGGGGGGACTGGGGAGGGACAGTGGGGGTAGGGAGGTTGGGGAGGGATAACATGGGGAGAAATTCCAGATATAGGTGACGGGGAATGGAGGCAGCAAACCACATTGCCATGTATGTACCTATGCAACAATCCTGTATGATCTGCACATGCACCCCAGAACCTAAAGTACAATATATATATATATATATACACACATATATAGTGTATATAGATCTATATACACTATATATGTATATATATAGTACTTTATATATATAATATTGTACTTTATATATATATATATATAAATTCCTAGAAGGGTCCACAGAATTTGCCAGATTGCTAAAGGAGCTCATGGCAGAAAAACTGTTGAGAGGCTGTGGGTAGTTTTTATTTTCTCATGTCACTGCCTTGCAAAAACAGCCTTGATGCCTTCCCTCTGCCTGCAGAACAAACGCTAAACCCCTTGGCACGACCTTCAAGGCCCAGTTACAATGCATTTTCAGAACACCTCACTCACTTTCTTTTTTGTCAAAGCCCTAGACATAACCTGTGTTCCAGCCATGCTGAATTACTTGAGTACACCAAGACTGTGCTTCTATCTCTAGGTCTATTTCCAGTTTACCTTAAGGAACTACTCTTTCTCTAAGGCCCAGCTCAAAATGTTATCCTGCTAAATCTCTCTTTTGCCTTCCCCCAAGCAAAACCACCGAATCTTTCATTTGTATTTTCCAGAATACTGTGCTCACAGCTGTTGGATCATTTGTCAGATCCTACTGTAATTAGCTACTGTGAGCTTCGGTGGAGAGACTTCCTCAAGTTTGCACCCAAAACACATAGTAAGTACTTGGAAATGCTTGAATAAATATTTCTAAAATATTCATTCTTCTGAGGGATGAATAAAATCCATAATGATTATAGTAGTTTGTCCTTTAAACCAAGAAATTCTTTTGATAAATATAATGTAAGTCTACTTCAAAAATCCACCAGCCCCAAGAAAAATAGAAGGTTGTTATCTTTCATTCCACTGCCTGGACCCAGCTGCCTTTAGTTCACTTCGATCCTTGAAGATAGCAAAAGCACCCCTCGCAGGAACCCATTTGCTAAGTCTTTAAACCTCCTGACTGTATCGGTGATGTCTTCTCACATTACCCTTCTCTGAATGATGCCAAATGTATTTTTGATCAGTCTCCTTTAAGCAGACACTTCCCATTTCTTGCCCTAGGATTTCCAATGGTCAGGTTATGGTATGATTTTTATATCCCAGAACATTCAGCTGCTTGATGTCAATCTTAAACAAATGCAGATGCAAGGTTTTAAAAATTCTTTTCCTAAGGAGCTTGAAGAATTAAAAAGGAGACCATCCCTTAATTTCACAGTTCAATGCACAGCTTGAGTAACTGGATCTACAGGTGTGCACATGCGCTGAGGATAGATGGAATGTTAGCAAACACTGACCTGAACTTAGAATCTCAAGGAACCACAGACTTCTAAGAATGGAAAGGAAACTTTTTTCTTTTTTTTAGACGGAGTTTCACTCGTTACCCAGCCTGGAGTGCAATGGCACGAACTCGGCTCACCGCAACCTCCGCCTCCTGTGTTCAAGCAATTATCCTTCCTCAGCCTCCCGAGTAGCTGGGACTACAGACGTGCGCCACCATGCCCAGCTAATTTTTTGTATTTTTAGTAGAGACGGGGTTTCACCATGTTGACCAGGATGGTCTCCATCTCTTGACCTCATGATCCACCAACCTCGGCCTCCCAAAGCGCTGGGATCATAGGCGTGAGCCACCGCTCCCGGCTGGAACTTCTTGACCAACAGCAGAGAGGTGTGTCTTGCCCAGGGGCTCACCTGTTATTGGGATTTCAAGTTTAGCCAGTCTAAAACAGAATCCCTGAGTTTTCTTCCGTGAGGTTTCATACTTTAGTCGGCAATCTCAGGCCATGGCACCTCTATCTACTACCCAGTTTCCCAAGCCAAAAAAAGCGGAGTCATTCTTTTTCCTTTTCTTTGATGGAGATGGGGTTTCACCATGTTGCCCAAGTTGGTCTCGAACTCCTGGGCTCAAGCAATCCACCGGCGTTGGCCTCCCAAACTGCTGGGATTACAGATGTGAGCCACTGTGCCAGGAAAAACGGAGTCATTCTTGATTCTTTTTCTTTTGTTCTCCACATCCCATTCCTCAGCAATTCCTGTCCGTTATACTCCCAAACTATATCCTGAGTTAATCTGTCCTTCCCCACCCACTCTAGGCTAAGCCACTGTCATTTCTCACTTGGGCTCCTGTGCCAGCCTTCTCACTAGTCTGATTCTTCTCTTGTCTCCCCTGCAATTCTCTACTGGCAGCCACAGTGACCCTTTATTTTATTTTTGAGACAGAGTCTTGCTCTGTCACCCAGGCTGGAGTACAGTGGTACAATCTTGGCTCACTGCAACCCCCACCTCCTGGGTTCAAGGGATTCTCATGCCTCAGACTCCTGAGTGGCTGGGATTACAGATGTGCACCACCATGTCCAGCTAGTTGTTCTTTTTGTTTTTGTATTTTTAGTAGACAAATGAACATGGTTTTACCATGTTGGCCAGGCCGGTCTCCAATTCCTGGCCTCAAGTGATCTGCTCACCCCCACCTCCCGAAGTGCCGGGACTACAGGCCTGAGTCACTGTACTTGGCCCAGTGACCCTTTAAAAACAGAAATCAGATCTTGTCACTCAGTTGTGTAGAACTCTCTTCACATTACACTTATGACAAACTACACACTCTTTATGGAACTTCTGAGGATCTACGTGACCTTGCTATTGCCTGCCTTGCAGCTCCAAAGCCTCTCATTTACTCTGCTCCAGCCTCACCAGCTTTTTCCTACGCCTTGAAATTCCAGAGCTCATTCCTGCCTCAGGACTTCAGCCTTTCTATACCCTCAGCCATGCATTGGGCTGGCTCCTTCGAATCAATCTGGTCTTTCTTCAGAAGATACTTTTTCAGAAAGTCCTTTTCTCTCCCCTAGCTTATATCATCTCCTCTTATCTAGGTGATTAGCTGAGATGAGTTTGTTAGGTTACTTGTTTATAGTCTCTTCTTCCCCAGCAATATGTAAGCTCTATGGGGGCTAGGACCCAGAACAATTCCTAACACAAGAAAGATATTCAACAGACATTGCTGAATAGGTCTAATTCAAGTTCTCAGACCCACCGTACTATGCTACGGCTTTGAACTCATGCCACTCCCATTAGTTATCTCTAAGACAATATGGGTACAGCAGAATGTAGAGTCACAGCTATCTGGGTATGAACCATTTCTCTACCTGTTCCCTGTTCTGTAACTGCACAAATCACTTCTCCTATCTGTGTCTTAATTTACTTACTGTAAAAATGAGTATAGTAGTCCTACTCTATAAAGTTGTGGGAGGAATTACATAATTTATATACAAAGCACAGCAGAGTGGCCTCTAGTGTGTGTCTAATTGCCATTTCTCTTTTCCCTTGAGTCTTCCACAAATTATAACAGTTCATTTTTAAGTGTCTTCTACTCTGTGACATGCACTATTCTAAGTGTTTTACATGGATTGACTAATTTAATCTACATAAAAACTCTACAGGACAGAAATGATAAATATCACTACGTTACAGATGAGAAAACTTAACAGAGTGGCTTATGCAACTCGCCTAAGGTCATATAAGAGGAAAGCAGCAGACTCCAGACCTCAACCCAGCAGTGTTGTCCAATTTCAGAGGTAGTAAAACAGTCATTGACTATCTTTACTGTGATCCCATGGTAAGAAACACATTTTACATCATAAGTATGTGTAGACATGTAACTGTATCTAAAGTATAAATATGTTTCACAAAATAATAACCTTACTACCTGTGTGCATTGATAGTTTCTCTTCATTTTAATTTTTAAAAATATTTGACCAACTTACTGATTTAATGATCTATTAATGAGTCAAAACTGCACTTTGAAAAACTGCTTGTCTAAATTACAATTTATCCAACTGTTCTGACCTTTCAGCTACCTCAACCTCTACCAGAAAAACTGATGGCTATCAGTTCACATTTTCGTATTTCATTTATATTCCAGATGAAGTCCTTATTAATTATTAAGATACTGATCACCCACCCTGACTCAGATCTACTCCCCATTGCAAACTGTTTTGCATTTATGGAAAAATATCTCATCAGGTAAGATTCAAGTAATTCTTTCACTCTCCAAAAATTATTTGCCTTTATTAAAACTATTAATACAAGCTGCCCTATATTAGAACTACTTAGGTACATGTCTGTCTTTCCCACTAGACTATCAGAAACTATGGAGGGCAGAAACCATGTTTTATAAACGCCTTTCTAGTCCCAAATAAAGGGTAAATTAAAGTGAAATGAAAAGAAGTTGGTATAAAAACTCTGGCTCTTAACTGTTGCATGGGGTGTGTGTAAGAGAGAGATTCAGATAAGAGAACACTCATACTGAATCATACATATTCCCACGAAAACATATAAGGCATACTCCCACTGATCTGGTATTGCAGGTGGTTTATAAAAATCCTTCTATCTGGAAAATTTGCATTGGCCATGCACTTAATTTCCCAATGCCATTCCTATCTCCTTGTGGCTCCTCATTTTGCATTTCACTAAGCTAAGAGAATTTACATTTCTACCTCTGGCAAGTTTCTCCCTGTAGACACATAGTCCTATGAACACTAAACTGAAAAGGCTTCTGGATGAGCAGATGTACATTAACATTTTCACCCAGTCTGACTCTCAGTCCCGATCTCTTTAATGGGCTGGCATCAACTACTGTTTATATCCATAGATATTGAAGTATATATCTGAGTGCATGCTATGTATCAAAGGGAAATAAATAAAACAAAGAAAAAGCCCCTGACTTGGAACTCTCAGTTGCAAGGCAGGAAATTCTTTCAGAGGGCAGGAAGTAGCTAGAAGCTTTTCCGCTAAGCAATACTTCAATTTCCCCACCCTTAGGGAAAGCTTATCCTGGTGTTGTTTCAATTCAGCAGATGCTGAGCAGTTGGAGAAAGGGAACAAACAACTAGGGGAAGTAATAGCACCTGTTTATGTTGACTTCTACTAAACAAGACTGGCCACCAGCTGTTGCAGGGTAGAAGAAGAGCTAGATGGGAACAGGAAACGCCAACTCAGGTGGAAGCTAGTTTTGGCTTTCTGGCTCTCCAGGGGAAACAAAAGTGTCGAGGAAGTAGGTGGTCATTCTCAGATGGCCAAGAGGCAAAGGCAAGATAATGCACTCCATTCACTAACATAGTGGCTGGGGGCGGGGCTTAGCACACAAACATGAAGTCACGCATGGTCATGAAATTAACGTTAGTTGCCTACTCTATATCCATTTTCTCCTTTTTCCTTACTAAAACCTCTATACTGTTGGGCATAGTAACATCCATGCAAGAATGACATTTCTTGGCCTCCTTTACAGCTAGCTATAGTCACATGACTGAGTTCTGGCCAAATTAAGTGAAAGTGTTGAATATGATTTCCAGGAAGACTCTTTAGAAGGCCCTGACTCAGCTAGGTTTGCTCATTTTGTCCTTGCCCTCTTTTCCTCAGGCTGCCAGGAATTTCTAACTAACGGCTGATGGTCAAGTGGCTATTTTGGACCATGGGGTGACCTTGAGAAAGATAATGTTGTGGTACAGTCAGGAGCCTCCATACTAGCCTTGAGCTGCCTAACTTTGGCATAGTTTTCTATGAGAAAGACACACTTCTTAAACTGCTGCTAGTTCTGTTGAATGTAGTCAAACCCCACCCTGAGATACCCTGATAATTACTGGCAATCACGTAACAGATACTTCCTATCTTCCTGTCCTCCAAAGCGAGGTGGATTCTGTTACCTAACTCTATCCTTCTTACAACAGTACAGGAGAGCTGAGGTATGTGTTATGTGAGAAGAGGAAACTGGAGTTGGAACAAATCAAGACTTGCCCAATGCCCACACAATTGGCTGCTTGGAGATCAGCAGGCTCTGGAGGCCAGGTTGCCTCACCCCTAGGATCTTTAAAAGCATAGTGGAAATAGGTGACAAATTTCCTTTAAAAAGATTTTGATTGGTTACTTTTAAAAAGCAAGCATTTAAGCACATCTCCTTTCTTCTATCAAATGATCTATAAAGGGGACATCAGAGTCACCGACTAAACATCTTTTTAAGTTGTCTCCAGAATACTACTGCTATATTAAAATGAATTGGAATTCACTGCATTGTTACAGCATACATTCAAGGAGCTGACTTCTCAAATTAGGTAAAGATATGGGCCGGGCGCGGTGGCTCATGCCTGTAATCCCAGCACTTTGGGAGACCGAGGCGGGTGGATCACGAGGTCAAGAGATCATGACCATCTGGGTCAACATGGTGAAACCCCGTCTCTACTAAAAATACAAAAAATTAGCTGGGCATGGTGGCACGTGCCTGTAATCCCAGCTACTCGGGAGGCTGAGGCAGGAGAATTGCCTGAACCCAGGAGGCAGAGGTTGCGGTGAGCCGAGATCGCGCCATTGCACTCCAGCCTGGGTAACAGAGCGAAACTCCGCCTCAAAAAAAAAAAAAAAAAAAAGATATATTTTGAAGTAGCAATTGGTAAAATGAATGTTACTGTTTCAAAAGCATAAGAGGTGATGATTAATGTAGAGCTGACAGTCTTTAAGAGGAAAAAACAAAGGTAGGACTTTTTTGAGATGGAGTCTTGCTCTGTCACCAGGCTGGAGTGCAGTGGCATGATCTCGGCTCACTGCAACTTCTGCCTCCCAGGTTCAAGTGATTCTCCTGCCTCAGCTTCCCGAGTCACTGGGACTACAGGTGTGCACCACTATGCCCAGATAATTTTTGTATTTTTTGTGGAGATGGGGTTTCACCATGTTTGCCAGGATGGTCTCGATCTCTTGACCTCGTGATCCACCTACCTTGGCTTCCCAAAGTGCTGGAATTATAGGTGTCAGCCACCACACCTGGCCAGAGGTAGGATTTTTTTTATTACAATGAAAGTAAAATTGAATCAGGTAAATTCAACATAGAAAAGTTTTAATGAGACAAATGTCAAACAAGCATATCAACTTCTTAAAAAACAAAGAAAATCTGAAAGTTTAATTACAAAAACACTTATACAGAAGACTTGGCATTTCAACAGTTCCAAACACATGTATACAAGTTATTTTCTACAATTAGTCAGAAATAAAATACCTTGTCTCCCCTTCCTCAGCTGCTCCTTGTATTTTAATAAAAAAAGAAAGAAATCTGTAACACTGAAGAGGAAACCGCTTATTTTTTGAGAACATAAAAGTAGAGTAGTATCTACAAGTGAACTGGGAAACATGAGTTAGGTATTGTGCTAGCCGGTAACTTCATTTCCTGCCTTCCTCACTGAGCACAGGGAGACAGGAGGCGGCACAGACCTGCTCTACAGACACGGACAGTTTTGTCGCATCTGCACCCTAGCATCATCCTAGTTAGGTGGGTAGTTAAAAAATTGGGAAAGAGCATTTCAAAAACAAGGTGCTTATTTTGTGAAAATGATTTCATACTGTAGGCTCTCTTGAGATCTCATGTATTTGTGAATATGCAAATGTTTCTAGTCAATGTCAAGTGTCCCACCTAGAGTCAGGAGAATGATGATCCTGGACCACATTATAGCCTTTTCTGGCCACAAAAGCAGTGCTATCAATGCTGCACAAAACTGAACACAAATGAGAAACAGAAATATGAGGAGGAAGAAAGAGGACAGAAAGCATCTGGCAGAAGGAAGACATAAACCTCCACAATGGGCTCTGGATGTCCTCCTGCCACAGACAGTGAGTTCTGACTTGAACTTAGCAGACAGGGAATCTAAGAGAAGTGGCAGAAATAGCAGATGATGGCAGGGAAATAGGAAAATACAGAAGAGCAGGAGAGCTGGCTAGGTTGATAACAATAGATAATGGATTCTGATTCTAAAAAATTGCAAAGTGATGGTATGTGGGTTTCAGCACATGGAAATTTGATATATGTTCACATAAGATATTTTAAAAACAGATTTTGTTGTTGTTGTTTTCCTTTGGACTAATAAAGAAAACAGGCAAAGAGATGCTGAGAAGCAGGATGATACAGCAACATGACAAGGATTCTGCCTACACCCTGACTTACAGGCATATTGTGAGAGGGGCCACACTTCTATCCACCTGCCTGCAGTAGTGTGGTGCCCAGACAGTGGGCTCTGCTTTGGTTCCAAAGATCTCAGCTGTAACCTTTAGCCTTGTGCTCCAGAGTGTCAAAAAAACAGACAAAGAAACAACCAAAAAACCCTGAGGTAAGAATCAGAACCTCTCTTTCCTTTTGCTGTTAAAGGAACCAGAAACTGCTAGGCATGATGCTTGAGTCCGAGTTGGAGGCTGTAATGTGCTATGATAGCATATGAATAACCACTGCACTCCAGCCTGGGCAACACCTTATGTCTAAACAAAACAAAACAAACAAAAATGAACCACAAAGTCCTCTTTACTTAAGCTATTAAAGAAAAAAAAATCACTAAGGAGGGAGAAGGAAAGGAAGCCTGTCTTCTTCACATGGATTCAGCAATTAATGGGTACAGAAGGAAGACAAAGGACATAAGAATTCTTCCGGGCCTTTTCTGGGAGCTCAGGAGACTATTTTGAATATTTCCACCTATGTAGATCCAAGAATCATTATTCCAAAAGGAGACAGGGATTCCCTCAGTTTTCACTTGCAATAAACTTTGGGCTTTGTACTCTTTCCCTTTCTCCTCTGTTTACAAGTGACCTTTTCCTCAGCAAAAATGCTCCACAAGACACTGCCAACAGATGGGAACAGAAGAGCCTTGCTGGGGCTGGAACTCCATGTCTGTGCAGGAGCAATGCTTAGAAAACAGCAGGCAGTACCAGTGAGGAAGGAAAGAGCATTCTCCTTTAGGGCAGCAATCACAAAGCCACACCGAGGGCTGGCACCCACTGAGCACCGTGTGGGGTAGGAAACACAGCCTTGCTCCACAGGGCACTGTCAACAAGAAGCTCCTTTCTTTGGAGTCACAGCAGGGCAATGATGGGAGAAGACTGGGCCTGTCCAATGCAAGAAACTCTCCTTCAGAACCTTGCTGAGCAATAAAGTCCAGAGGTGAGAAAATGGAGATGTATAAATTGGTGGGGGCCAAGAAAGCAAAAATTACCCCCAGAGGCATTTAAAAAAGTGACAGCTAGGTAACAAAACTGGAGCTCCACTGATAAAAGGGTCTAAGCAAAATTGCAACAATGAGAAGTCTTCCTTTCTGCAGCAGCGGATGTCAGCGTCAGGGTCACCTAGTAAGCTGAAGATATGCAGATCCACTCTAAGAGAGATGGAAATGATAGGGACCTGAAGACCGGGGAGAGTGGCTGGATACTTTCAAAGCTTCACGTAAGGACAATTCCACAGGAAGCTCATATACATGTTGCGGCTCCCTCACATGGCTTCCTGGGATGACGGCCTTTCACTCACTGATGATTCTTCAACAAGCAAAGGGATCTGCACACTTTCTCTGCCCCAACTCAGTTCAAATTTCCATGGATGGCTTCTCATTCCTCACAAGTAAAAATACTTATGGAACATCTTGGAGCTCTAAGAACCTGCAGAATCAGGGAAACAAAGGAAAACAAAAACAAAGAGAAGGACACCAAGAAAGTTTAAGTATTCATCAGAAGGGGTTAGCACTATGGATTTTAAAAATGCTTTGGTTTCATAAGAGTTAAGGTGAGTGCAGGGTGTATGTAAACTAAATAACTCATAAAGCTGCAAGCAGGCAACCTCATTGAGATGTTTCACATAACATTTCAATGAGAAACATGGCCCTGCTCCAGTTCAGCAACAGTGGGAGGTAGAAAATCAACAGCTAAACGCAGAAAAGCAACCATCAAGGACAAATCTGAGGAGGGAAAATGAGTACCCTACTTTAGTCCGAACAATGTATTGTCAATCAAAACCAATTTTCTTCAGTGTTAACCTAAGGATATTTGAATGTACAGAGACATATTATGTACATATAATCAAGAACATTTCTCATATTAATAAAAATGCAGTCACATAAGAAAGATTTTTTTCCCCCAAACTCAAACAGCCAAATATTATCATTGAAGTCAAGCAACATATGCATTTTAGTAGTTTAGCTAAGGTAGTCACCTTTCAATTTAAAAGCACCTCTATGACTTCCTCCTGGCTCTACCTGTCTCTAGGCACTACTCAGCCACAAGAAATGTGACAGACAGGTAGGGTAATTCTTCCATTGTATATTTATCAAAATAATTTTAAAATGGGCTAAAATTCTCTAACATTATAATTACTAGATTGTAATTTTTTTCTATTAACTTCCCATCTATCTTAATGCTCAATTTCAGGATGTTTCAGTGCTTTCCCCTTCTGCCATCCACCTCTTCCTTACAGCAATGTTTTAGAAACCCAGTGTGTGAGAGTTTAGATCTCTGTGGTTCTAGTCTTGGATTCTGTACTCATGCATGCGGGTATTTTCAAGCAAGATGTTTCTCCTCTCTGGGATTCAGTTTCTTCATATATAAAATGTTGGATTTCTAAAGGTCCCTTCCAACTCTAATACGCTCCTCTGAAACTTGTAGACCATTAGCTTCCCTTCCCTCATTGGGCCTGACAGTGGATGAAACCTTTGCCAAACTCTTGTCAGAGTAATTAATTGTACCATGAGTGCTGGGGACATCAGGCCTCACTGTCTGTACATATTTGTATAATGAGGCCAAACTAGTATTAATCACAGCCTTTGTAATTGTTTCCTTTGACAGTTTTGGGGGGTGTGGGGAACCATTTATTGTTAGTTATGTTTGCATGGCTAGACTGTAAGAATCTGTAGTAATATAACAGTTCACACTTTTAGTTATTTTTTTCAAGGGCAAAATATTTATAAGTTAAAATCAAGGATAATAGTAATATTCTAATTTTCAAAGACGCTTCAGAAAGCAAATAATACAGTTTATATTCTTAGGATGAACAAAGCTTTAGGAGAATCTTACTGGCAAAATGCTCAAAATGGAAAACCACTTTTGGTTCAAAGCTTAATTAAGTATCCTGTATCTACGTGAAGAGACACCATGTTATCAACTAATGTTTTCTTTCACAATCTTCCACACTGTTTCTCCCAGCTCTCACTTTTCAAGCCTACAAGAGTGCTAATTGAAAACACTGTGTAAAAATGGGAAGGATGATGAGCTCCTGAAAATCCCAAGCCTAGATTTACAAGCTGTTCCCTTCATAAGCAGCAGCAGTAATGCCACTTCTTTATTCTGCAGGGAGTCCAGCCATCTCTAAGAAGTTCAGTCCGTTCCATCTGGCTACTCAACTGGAAGGACGGTAATCCTTTCCCCATCAGAGCATAGCTGAGGCTAAAATATAATGAATTGCCTGGTACAGTTACCATCCAAGGGTATCGCCAAGAAGTATAAAGACCTCTGCCTTTGTCTCTACTAGCAGATGTTGCCTCATTAGATAAAGAATCATGGGCTTTATTTATCTTTATATATGTTGCTCAACCAAACCAAGCCAGAATATAAATTATGTTTATGAGTGTGCTCATGTACTCACAGCATCAATAAAGATTCAAACCCACAACCAGTCATTCTGAGGAACAACATATCCTGCTGTTGACTCTCGTTTCGGTATCCATATATAGCCACCTCATTGTAGGGTCCAACCTTAAAATTTCCACACAGTTTATGTGTCTGCAGGTATGGAATAACTTAACCAATAGAGCAAAGGGATGCCAATTTGGTGGGATGGCATACTAAAAGGATATCCTATCTCTAGGAATTTGAATGAACAAACTAATTCCAATTAAGAAATGACCATTAGTACCAAAAAGTGTATATGGATAGATCCCTTCTGGAAATGGAGAAAAAAAAATTTTTTCCCCAATAAAAGAATAAATACTTCTGCTCATTTGTTGAATATATAGTTTTAAAAACTTATTTTCTCCATCCTTTCTTTTTTGCTTATTGAGAATTTTTCTTTTTCTTTTTGAGACAGAGTGTTGCTCTGTCACCAAGGCTGGATGACCTAGCTTACTGAAACCTGAACTCCTGGGCTTGAGTAGGTAGGGTTATAGGTGTGCACCATCAGGTTCAGCTAATTTTTTCCATATATATATATATATTTTAAAGTGGAGGGTCTTGCTGTTTTGCCCAAGCTTGTCTTGAACTCCTGGGCTCAGGCAGTCCTGCTTCAACCTCCCAAAATGCTAGGACTACAGGCATGAGCCACTGTGTCCCACCAGGAGTTTATTTAAAATTTGAGACAGTGTCTTGCTGTCACCCAGGCTGGTGTGCAGTGATGCAATAATGGCTCACTGCAGACTCACCTCAACCTCCTGGACTCAAATAATCCTCCCACTTTAGCCTCCCAAGTAGCTGGGACTACAAGGGCATGCCATCATACCCAGCTAATTTTTTGTATTTTTTTATAGATGGAGTTTTGTCATGCTGCCTAGACTGGTTTTGAACTCCTGGGCTCAAGCGATCTGCCTGCTCTGACCTCCCAAAGTGCTAGGCTTACAGGTATGAGCCATTGCACTGGCTGAAGGGTTTATTTTTTCATCTATTAAAACCAGGTAATTACCTATTTGTATTGTGAGTTCACATCAACATTTAACAGACAACAGTCACTGTGCTTTTGAGTGGTGAATATAAAACCTTCCTACTATGAAAGCTCACAAATATGCAATGTCTCACCGACTACTTCTAAAGTATCATTAGCATTTTCCAGAGAAAAGGAAGATTAAAAATTAAGTTATATTTACTTTGCTCTGAGTGCTGTTGTAGGGATAATTTCCTCTAAGTTTTCCACTCACTTTTCAAAACCCTTTGGGAAACTAACGCCCAAGAATATAGCTAGTAAGTGACAAAGCTAGAACTGGGGTCAAAGCACAAAGACCATGCTGTTTCCATTAAACCATTCTGAAGCAAGCATGAGAAAAAACTGTCTTGATTCTGTTTTCTTTTATTTTTAGAGACGGGATCTCACTGGACTTGAACTGCTGGGCTCAAGCAATCCACCCACCTCAGCCTCCCAAGTAGCTGGGACTAAGTGATTCTGTTTTCTAATATTATTTAGTACATTTAACAACCATGCAACAGGAATCTTAACCAACTCTCCAACTCATTCATCCAATGTAATCCCAGGGTTTTAGTGGTATTGACAGAGTCTGATGACATCTTATTTTTGATGATATGCTGGCATATAAGTATCAGTAAGCACTCACCATTCCCTAACGATCAAGCCTGTTCACAACTTCTCGAACTGTAGCTATGAAGTTTTCATTGTCTTGGGGATTAGCTAAAATAATACTGTGCAGTCTGTTCATATACGAGTCAATGGTGTCCACTGTAGGTGTCTCTCCACTTCCTGAAGTGAGATAAGAAGAAAGTAAGAAAATCCTCCCTATTCAGTTTTATCATAAAATAGCTCTGGGGAGCTATATTATATTTTATATTTTAACACTATTTAAAAGAAATAGTGATTCTAATGTGGTCTGCTCCACAGACGTGCTTTTTATTTTACAAGAGAGGCTTTTAGATCTCAAAGAAACGAAGTTAATCCACATACTCTAAATAAACAGATGGGCTATATAATTGCTGTATAGTATATATGAGTAGCTGCATGTAACAGAAGGTTAGAGACTCTCTCAGCTTTCTGCTATGACTATCCTCAAAATGAAAGCATATATTAGAAATACCAGTGTTCGTTTTCTCTTCCTTCCCGTTAAAACAAAAACAAATAGAAAGCAAACAAACATACATAAAAGGAAGCACTCTCCTCAAGATTTATTACTTAGTTTCCAGTGTTCTGAATAGCAAATTACGCTTAAAATAAAGGGAAATAGACACTAAAATATAAATGGACAAAAATTTGAATGACCAGAGACCTTGAAACACTGGATGATTTTAGCCAATACTGACATTCTATTACATGACCCAATCCGGAGAAGAAAGAATGTATTTTAATTAATTTTCCTCTGGAGATTTCAACTTCTCCACACCAGTACAAACATAAATAGCACCCCACTGCTCGCAACACACACACCCCTGTCACTGACAGTCCTCAGGCAGGAGGACTTACCAGGCAAGGGCATGCTGGCAAAGCTGCTGGTCAGCACCTGCCGCAGGGTCTCCAGGTGCTGCTGTAAGACTGTGTTGCGGCTCCGCTCCTGGATCACATCCACCTCCAGCTTCTCCACTGCTGTGCGCATGCTCTCCACGTGCTTTTGCAGGGCTGCATTCCTCTCCTCAAACTCCATGTTAGATTTGCGAAGCTGGCGGAGCTCTGCCTCCCGAGCTGAGGATATATATCCCACAGAACACATGCAGCGCTAGAAGGAGTCTCTGAGGAGTCCCAATGACTCTTATAGGGAAGTTCTGCTTAGCTGCCTCTAATTGAGCTACCCCACCTCCTCTCCCTATTCTCATTACGGCATTCCAGATAGCAATTTCAGCAATGAAACACGTGGCTCCCCAGAGCTATTTTAATTCTTAAAGCTAGTCATATTCCATACATAAGACTGCAACAGTTTCAATTCCCAGTATTTTTTTTTGTTAGTTTTTGCTTTATAAAATTGTACAATGAGAAGCCTGAGGGGTTTTGCAGGGGGATGACTGGGAGACTGGCCAACCATATCTGTGGGTTCCAATCTTTACTACAGTGGGATCAGAATTGCTCTTATTTTATATTTTGGACTCCATGTAAGTTTTTGTTTGTCCAAAGGGTTCCAGGCTAATTGTCTGAAACAAATGAATCTGTGATTGCATTTATTTCCTTTGATCCAGAGACCAAAGAAACTTTGACAACAATGGCCTAGCTTTCCTTCACTAGTCTTTGAGTAGCTACCTTTACCATTAAGTGAAAGAGAGGCAGTTCTTCTTCTAGACTAGTCCTCAGGAGGGATATCACTACCATTGCTTTTAAGCAATGAATTTTTTCTGAGAACTAAATCCCCTGTCAAAAATCTGAGAAACATGGAAAGAAACTTCAGTAATTACCTTTGCTATGGTTCAAGAATTCCTCTGTAAATATAGGGATGTCAAAAACAGACCGTTCCTTCACCTCTGTTTCTTTCTGTGAATCAAGAGGAACAAAACAGTTAATTCTTAATGAGGCTAAATTAACTAATAGTGCTTGAAGATACAATGATCATGTCTCCTTTAAGGAAAGAGCAGGGTGAGCAGGAATCAGTCTAGGTGAGTCTGTGAGGGACATGTATTCACCTTTTCACTGGATTCCAACTTTCATAGCTCTTAGGCAGGTGAAGTATTCACTTCTCTGAAGTGTACAACTACTGTGCAATTAGAAATCTTAAAACAAATTTACACAGATTTCCCTAATGGAGAATTTGAAGCCATTTCTTAGCCTTATGCTTTGAATAGTCAACAGTATACAGTTGTGAAAGTGACTGCAGCAGGAACTGAAAAAGAGTAGTTTTTTTCCCAGTCACCTTTTTTTAGTTATGCATATAAAATGCTCCCTAAGATTACATAATATAAATTTGCAGAGTGGACAATAAAAATTTTAAGCAGAAATCTGCCTGCCATGAAAAATAAATATGATATTCGATTGGTACTTCTATTTACTAATGAAAGGCAGCCTATCTTTGGGGTCTTCTACATTTTCTTTGTTTTTTTTTGAGACGGAGTTTCGCTCTTGTTACCCAGGCTGGAGTGTAATGGCGTGATCTTGGCTCACCGCAACCTCTGCCTCCTGGGTTCAGGCAATTCTCCTGCCTCAGCCTCCTGAGCTGGGATTACAGGCATGCGCCACCATGCCCAGCTAATTTTTTGTATTTTTAGTAGAGACGGGGTTTCACCATGTTGACCAGGATGGTCTTGATATCTTGACCTCGTGATCCACCCGCCTCGGCCTCCCAAAGTGCTGGGATTACAGGCTTGAGCCACCGCGCCCAGCCTACATTTTCTTTAGACTCAGGAAAAATAAACAAACAAACATACAAGATCAAGAAATCAGAAAAAAAAAACAAGCTCTAAAAACTAGAAAGGATTATGTGAGATACAAAATAACAAAGCCTAAAATTAATTCACCAATAAGCGATTAAAAATTAAAAAGCCTCACAAGACCACTGCAAAATATATTCCACAATGATCCTTAAGAATAAAGTCGATAATTCAAGATGCTTTGGCTGTCAATTCTACAATGCATTTGAAGTTCAAAGCACTGTGAATATTAAGAGTCTTGGCATAATGTTCAAAATTTTCCATAACGAAGGTGGTAAAATGGCAGGAAGTGAGAACTGAAGAAGCTGCTAGTGAAATCTTAAGAAGAGCCCAAGACCTTTATAACATGAAAAACATGTAAATATAATACCTAGATTTAATTCCTATAAAAAACCTTTTAAAGCTAGATAGAATGTATCTTTCCTACTCTTGTCATCACTAGTTTTCTTTTCTTTTTTTTGAGACAGAGTCTCTCTCTGTTGCTGAGGCAACAGTGGTGCAATCTTGGCTCACTGCAATCTCTGCCTCCCAGGTTCAAGCAATTCTCCTGCCTCAGCCTCCTTAGTCGCTGGGATTACAGGTGTCCACCACCATGTCCAGCTAATTTTTTTGTATTTTTTAGTAGAGACAGGTTTCACCATGTTGGCCAGGCTGGTCTTGAACTCCTGACCTCAGATGATCCACCTGCCTCGGCCTCCCAAAGTGCTGGGATTACAGGCTTGACCTCCACTAGTATTTTAAATCTTTGAACACAAAAATGACTTGGTGTCCAGTAGAAAAGCTAAGCAGTTTGCAGCTGAAAAGGGAATTCTGACACCTAAGTGAGCTCCTGTATTCCATAATGGTGGCTGCCTAGTAAGGGGGCTAGGCTGTGTGAACCACCTGCCAATGGCACTGAGCAAGAAAGACACTTAAGATGGATTCTGAAAAACTATGTCATTTCAGAGCACTTAATTTCTACTTTACATTTTTCTCCCAAATGAAAGAAAAGTTTCCCAGAACAATCTGAAAATAAACAACAAAACTATCAATTGAAAGTCCCAGGTTTCAACATGCAAAGCTCTATCTCGAGCCAGTTCCTAGGGGATTTCAATGGGAACTAATGTTTGAACAAGAAAGGCTGGTTCCATCCAGCAGGGATCTCAGCCATATTTCGCAGTGGCTTTCTCTCAAATCTGCTGGCTTTCCATATGCTTTAACTGTTACTGGGCTGCTGTAGGAAAACAAAACCTGTGACACATAATCCCAACACGCACAAGGCATAACAGATACAAACATAAGTCCACAGATGACTTAGCACAAAAACTTAGGGCATTATCATCCTATCTTATTCAGTCACCAGCTTAACTGCAGTTACATGAGATCAGTTACCCAGCTATACGTCTCAATATCTGCCAGTTAGATGGGTAAGTGGAGATGCTTGGCTCCCATTACCACGGTACAAAGATCCCTCTCCAAGGTCTTGACTCTATTCAGACTAGTAAATCTTTTCTCTTCTTTGCCAGAGCAGTCCAAACCAAGCTAATTACATAAGGGCAGAGGACAGCATCACATAG